GCCGTCTAGTCAAAGCTGTGGTTTTTCCAGTGGTCATGTATGGATGTGAGAGTTAGACTACAAAGAAAGCTGAGTGCCAAAGAATTGATGCTTTTGAACTGTGGTGTTGGAGAAGACTCTTGAGAGTCCCTTAGACTGCAAGGAGATCCAACCAGTCCATCCTAAAGGAAGTCAGTCCTGAATATTCATTGGAAGGACTGATGCTGAAGCTGAAACTCCAATACTTTGGCCACCTGATGCGAAGAACTGACTCATTTGAAAAGACCCTGATGCTGGGAAAGATTGAAGGTGGGAGGAGAAGGGGACGACAGAAGATGAGGTGGTTGGATGGCATCACTGACTCAATGAGTTTGGGTAAACTCTGGGAGTTGGTGATGGACAGGGAGGTCCGGCGTGCTGCAGTCCATAGGGTCATAAAGGGTTGGACACAAATGAGCGGCTGAACTAAACTGTACACAGCACTCTGCCTAATCCAGGTGAGGCACTCAACAACTGTGTAGAATAAATAAAAAAAAAAAATTAGCCCAGGCCAGAAACCCAAATACTTGTTGTGAGTAAGCACAGGCCCAGTACTAAAAATAGCCAGAGGGAATAAAGTGATCTCTCTAAGAGAGTCATGAGCTCAAGTCCCCCAAGTGCTGTTTGCTTGTGCACAGGAAGAGGTTATTTACAAGATGAGCCACAAGAACCTCAGAGAATGAATGTGGATGCCAGAGCCTTCTTCCTAATGCGATCAAGAGCAGTAACTACATATTGAGAACTCTAAATTTGTCCAGGACGCCACGTTTCACTAAAGCCTCAGAGTGTGTCCAATTATCTCAAGAGAAGAATGTCATGAAATTCTCAATCCTGAGGTCACGTTAATTCACACTCATCATATGTGAATGGAATGCAGGTGCTGACCACGCAGCATCTTGAGAGAAACTATCAACCAGAACTGAATAAAGGTTAGGGAATAGTAACAGCTACTGTGATTTAAGCACTTGTCATGCTCTGGGCAGAGAGCTAAGTGCTTTAACATCCAGGGTTGATGCCTCCTCTGTTCCGGGTGCTCAGGAAAAGATACAGGCTCTGATGCCTCATTTCTTACACATTTTCTCATCTAATCCTCGCAATGATCCTATTGCTAACCCTATCTTATAGTTGAGGAGATTGAATTATGGAATTTGCCCAATATCATGCATCTGTAAGTGGCAAAAAGGATTCAGTGAGTCTGATTCTGGAAACCACTTCCTTACCCCACACTCTAGGACTTGGTAGGATTCTGCATGCAAAGGCATCTCTCGAGTTCTCAGGACTGTGTGGCCACCTGAGGGGAGGCATGCAGGGGAATGACACTGTTTGGGAGAACCGTCCCTGAAAGGACAGAGTAGCCTGGAGACCCAGGGAAGTCTGCTCCCCATCACTTTGGATTACAGCCTGTGTCACATTCCATTGTTGTGTTTCCAAGGCCTCATGGCCTTGAGACAGGCATCAGGAAGCAATTCCAGTTTCTGGCCCAGACCTCAAGTCCTTTAAACCTTTCTATCTAACTACACTTCCACTGGCTTTCATTTCTGCAACCCTTCTAACAGAAATACTCTATTGAAAGTAAGTAAGTGAGAGGGGAGCTGATTGAGCTGACTGAGAATTTACTTAATTTCTACATCCAATTCCTATGACTAATGTGCTGGGGAAAGGGCAAAGTCTGTCTAGGTATGATTGTGTTTTGCATAAACTTTTATGCATGAAGTGGCTCTATTTGCAACTAGATCAGATCCAAATTTCAGAATCATTCTAATCTAATGACTGCAGTAAAGGTCTGTTTTAAAAAGAAAGAGAGAGAGCAAAGTCACATCAGCTTTGGCCTGCATTATAAGAGCCCTGGAGTGGACATTCCTGCTTTGAAGCTTTCTTCTCTTCTCTGTCGAAGCTGCTGAAGGCACTGCAGACGTGGCCCACCCAGGAACTCTGGGAGCTCAAGGAGTGCCTGGTTCAAAAGGTGAGCAGAATGAGCATCGCCTCCTTCGCGCAGTCTGCCTCTGACCTTGAACCAAAGTCTTGTGTTTGCATCCCTGACTGGGACACCAGTGTGGTGCCCAGGCCTGCTACCATCCTTGTGGTATTAACCCAGGCAGGCTGGTTGCCTGTTCTAGTCATGCTGCCATGAACAGAAGTCCTTTTTGGAAAGCTCCTTCAGAGTCATTGCCCTGCCTTTCTCCTCTGGCCCAGCTGTTTCCAAATGTAACGTACGGGAGACTCACAGAGGAACTTGCTGAACTGCAGGCTCTGATTCAGTAGGGCGGGGATGAATCTTGAGAGTCTGCATTTCTAACAAGCTCCCAGGGTTGGTTTTGGGAACAATTAAAGGTTAATCAGTGTCAAGAATGCTGACCAAAGCAGATGAGACAGCCACTGGCCACTACTATTTTTGTCTTCCCAGAGCATGTGCTTTGCCTGCTTTTTAAAATTTTTTTCCTGGTAACAAATCTTTCCCTCCTAGCCACAGTCATGGACGTGCAGCCTCAGTCTGGGACAAAGAGAGTCCTGCTTGGGATTGATATGAGAACAATGGTGGGAACGGGGAAGTGAGGATTAGTGGGGAGCAGGCCATCCTTTCCTAGAGGTTACTAAACTGGGATGACGTAGTCTTGGGGTAGCCATCCTGCTTGGCACATGCAGGAAGTCAACTGCAATGATGGAAAAATGAGGTGAACTTACAGAGAGAACTGGAAGAGGCAGAGATTTCACGATACCATTAAAACCCCTAAATCCAGTCAGACCTGATGCTGATTTGCTCCAGCCTTTCCAGTTATAGGAACCAATAAATTTGCTGTTTTCACTTAAATTGAGTTAATCCCTGTCACTTACAAATGAAAGTGGGTAAGGCAATGGGGGTCAAAAATAAAGTATATAGTGAAGATGGTTTCGTGGAGTGATTTCAGAAACAGTTCCTAAAGGCCAGTTCCTGAAACGTCTGAGCAATGGTGATTTCTCTGGAGTAATTGCTTAGCTTCCCTTGGCCACTAGAAGAAGGACAACCCTCGTTTAGAACATTTTTTTTTAATATATAATCTCATTTATTTATTCATTTGTTTTTGGCTGTGCTGGGTCTTCATTGCTGTGAAGGCTTCTCTCTAGTTGCAGTGAGTAGGGGCTACTCTCTAGCTGTGGTACGCAGGCTTCTCATTGAAGTGGCTTCTCTTGTTGTGGAGCATAAGCTCTAGGCCATGCAGGCTTAAGTAATTGCAGCATATGGGCACAGTTGGGTTGTGGCTTCAAGATTCTAGACCACAGGCTCAATAGGTGTGGCATTAGTGGCACCACAGCACGTGGGATCTCCCTGCATCAGGGATCAAACCCATGTCTCCTGCATTGGCAGGTGGATTCTTTACCACTGAGCCACCAGGGAAGCCCTGGAATGTTATTAAATGATCTTATAACTAATTTCATTGCAACATCTCTTGTGAACCCCGAATTCTCTGGAATGAAGTGAAGTTAAACCATTACTTAAACCATCTCTGTACCCTGGATAGCAGAGACCAAGGAAGAGGATACTGCCAACAGAGCCTTGAAAATGTGATCAAGCCTGGCTTTCCTAAGGGCCTGATCTCCAAGGACAGATAATACTATAAAGGAAACCTGAAATCCTTCCCCAGGGAATGTTTGGTTCATACCTTTCATGATGGTATTAAAACATTTTGTAGAAGCTCCACATGGGCAGTTGTTTCTTCCTGGATTTTTAGTTATATAGGAAAGCTTAGTTAACACAAGATCTTGATTCAAACCAGATTCATAAGTGGCTTCATTTCCAGTTGCAGCCCTTGATGTCATGTCTCAAAGAGCCATCATCCCAGCCCCTTAGAGACTTACTGAGACCTCGGTATCCGAGCTACCTTGCAGATCTATGAAAAGCAAAGAGCATGCATGAAAATTAGATTGAGACTTATGTATGTGGACTGTTGGAAGATTAGCAAGTCTGTGGTCAGTAGAGAGGGAAGAGGAGGTTCCTGCTTTTCTCTGTGACTTCCCTGTTTCAGGTAATGGCGGCACCACCCTTCTGAGCATCCATGGTCAAAACCTCAGAGTCTCTTGACTGCTTTTCCCCCTTTTCATTTTCTTCTTCATCGCCTGCATGAGACTGATCCTATCTCAATGTCTGCTACTCTACTTTCCCTTTTCTCCACTCATTATTTCAGCCTGAATCATTGTGTCAATGGCCTTGAAGATGTTCTTCTCAAATCTATCTCTCACACTCCTACCTGATCTAGTCAAAAAGTTTGAGGACTTAACATTATTGCCTCACCCCTGTGGCAAATTGTATTTTCTAAAGAGTCTATAACAATAGCTCCCATTTCATGTGTTCTTACAATGTGATCTTGACGCTCCACCCTTTAAGAGGTGGAGTCTCTTTCCTCCTCTTGAACTCAGAGATGCTTGACAGTCACAGCAGTGATAGGATGTGACTCCCAAGGCTGGGACCAGAAAAGTGTTACAGTTTTTGCTTGGTTCTGTCAGGAAACTTGCCTTCAGACCCTTGATCGCCATACAATAAAGGCCACTGCTTCCCAGGTAGCACTAGTGGTAAAGAACCCCCAGGCCAATGGAGGAGACACGAGACACAGATTTGATCCCTGGGTTGAGAACATTTCCTGAAGGAGGAAATGGCAACCCACTCCAGTATTCTTGCCTGGAGAATCCCATGGACAGAGGAGTCTGGTGGGTGGCAAAGAGTTGGACACGACTGAAGTGATACAGCGTGGCCGTATTGTGAGGAAGCCCAAGCCACATGGAGCTGCCATGTATAAGTGCTCATAATGTGAGGGCTCGCTGGGCAGCAAACGTGAGCGAAGATACATACACAGGATTTCTTCTCCCAGCCTTGAGTTCTCCCAGCTGAGGCCATAGCCTCATGGAGCTATGCTCTTTTTGAATTCCTGACCTACAGACTCTGTGAGCACAGTGAAACGGTTGTTTCAAACTGTAAGATTGGGGTCAGGGGCAGGGGGTGGGGGGCGGAGGGTAATTTGTTATACAGCCAATAGATAACCAATATTTTATTTTAAAATTCCTTCATCTTCACACAAAACCTGTATCAGTCATCTGGCTCCAGCTTTCAAGAATCTACTTACAAGAGAGGTGAGATTTCAGGAACTGTCAGAGAAGAAAAGAGGAGGAATCTGGGAATCCCTATGCATTTTTTTCAGCACCTAGACATCACAGTCCTTATCATATCCAAATCTTCACCATCATGGTCATGAGGTAGGTATGAATTATCTTCCTTAAGAGATGCAGATGTTGAAGCTCAGACTGGAAACATAAATTTCTCTCATCTCCTGGATATCAGTGGCAAAATAGGAATTCAAACCCAGGACCCGATGGCACAAAAGCCCGGACAATCTTCACATGCTTCCCAGAGAACTGAACCTAAAAAGAGAAGACACAGATGAGCACTTGGCACAACTTTGAGCTCCTACCTTTCTCAGGACATTACTGAAATAACTTCCCTCTTTGGAGTAAAGAAAAACAAAGCAGTCTGGTTAAGCCAGAGAAAGCCCCCCAGCAACAATGTCGAACAAGCCAGGAGTAATTTGTTTCTATTCTTCTCCATGTGACTGCCGGAGGTTATCCTGGTTTTTATTAGCCAAACTTCCCCTTTTCAAAAGATAATTCTTTGAAATCTTCTGGGAAATTAACATGGCTCAATCTGGCTCTGGGCTGGCCACCACATGCTCTCAGAATTAAGAGAACCTGGGTTTTTAACCCCTTGTAGTCACATACATACGCACACAAAATTGAATGCGCCTCTATACTATTTTAACAGGCTCTAAAGAGACAGTTTACAGTGAACCAGCTATTATGTTCAGCTTTATCCTAGAAAAAAAATTGATCTATATTTTTTCCAATTAAAGAGTTCTATACCATGTACCAATTTAGTTATAATTCAGACTCACTAGAAATTTTTTATTTAAAAAAATCTCATGAACCAATTAATACACAAGTTAGATCATTTAAATATGCAATTTTTCAAATATTCTTTAAGCAAAATTCATTACCAGCAAGTAATATAAAATAACTATAGCAGAAAATTTTAATTCCAATTCTCCATATCCTAGCTATTTACATTAAAAAGTTTATAATTTTTCTTTATTTTTATTTGCTAACTGGGAATTTTTGAGATTTCTTTTTTACAGTATCATAAGAAATATAAAAAAGTGACACTATGTAGGCAGCTAATGGCTTATTCTTTCAATATTTCCATATCTATGTTTCTGGCCTTTAAGAAATTGTTTTTCTCTGGAAAGTTTGGCAGGGCAGAGCAAGGTGGAAAAAAGCTTGTCCTCCATACCTCTCTTTCCTCCATGACCATCCCTACAGGGAAACCTTAAGGCCTTTGCAGCTGACGTCTCCTTTTCCAGTCAAAGTTCCCCGAGAGATAGTGCAGAAAACCCTTTGGGAGCTGAGAGTAGGAGTCTTCTGCTATCACCCAGGTCCAGCATCTAAGCCATACCCAGAACTATGCGACCGAAAGGATGACATTGACTAGAAGAAGAATACAGAGTAATTCAATCAGGACAGAACCCAGATCAAGTCAGTTCAGTGAGTTCATGCTGTGTCTCACACCCTCTTTGCTGCAAAGGCATAGTAATGTCAGGTAAGAAACAAAACAGAAGGAAAATAATTGGCCTCTCGCTAATGGTCAAAAATCTGCCTGCTAATGCAGGAGACGTTAGAGATGCAGGTTTGATCCTTGGGTTGGGAAAATCCCCTGGAGAAGGAAATGGCAATTCACCCCAGTATTCTAGCCCGAGAAATTCCATGGACAGAGGAGCTTGGCAGGCTTACAGTCCATGGGGTCCCAAAGAGTCAGACATGACTGAGCTTCTGAGCACGACAGAAACAAAAGGTGGTGAGCAGCAGCTGAAACCACGAGCCTGCAGGTAGCAATGATCTAGAATTTCTCTCCTGAAGATTGAGGGGATTACTAGTGCTCTGTGTGAGAGGGGAACTAGAGTCATTTTCATTGAGAAAAGCAAGAGCTGGGATGAAAGAAATCTGAAAAATTAAGCTGCTGACAAGACAATGTTTGGGGCTTTGGCTAGGGAAGACAGAAAGACAGAAAAAGGCTTTACAACAAAGAACCTCAATCAAATTTAGTAACTGTGAACATGATATTCCCAATATCACAATGAAAAGAAAGCCTTAAAATAGTGGAAATGGCTAAGGATTAGCAGCAAGATCACAACAGCTCTGAACAACTGTAAGATCATTATGGGTGTATGTGTGCATATTCAGTTATCTCTGACTCTTTGTGACCCCATGGACTGTAGCCCACCAGGCTCCTCTGCCCAGGGGATTTCCCAGGCAAGAATACTAGAGTGGGTTGCCATTTCCCCCTCCAGAGAATATTCCAGACTCAGGGATAAAACCCTCATCTCCTGTATTACAGGTGGATTCTTTACCTCTGAGCCACATGGGAAGCCCCAAAACCACTATAGGAAGAGGAAAATATGGGGAGGGATATGGTGGAGAGAGAAAGAAAAAAACATAAGCAAAATTTTCCCACTCACAATAAGTACACAAACCCAAATCCCAAGCCAAAGGAGAAATTCAGTGAGAATGAAATCAGGATATAAATGTGAATTCATTCATTATTAAATCAAAGCTATGAAATAGCCTAGAAAAGACTTTTTAAATTTTAAATATATATGTTTATAATGCAAAAATACATAAATTAAATAATAATTTTCATTTTAAAAGACCAGGGAAATGTAAAGAAGGAAGAAATAAAAGAATAACAGGAATATATGAAAAAGAGTTAACTTTCTAAGGCTCAGGATACAAAAGATATTAATTTAAAAAACTCATTTTATATAAGATCAACTCTAGACTGGATACTATAGAAAAAATGCTAATTAGAAAGCAGTATTTAGTAATTTACCTATAACACACAGAGAAAAAGTATATGTACATATACATTAAAGAAAGAATATTATCATAAAGAAAGTCTCAAAAAATGTGAAGGCACAGAAGTCATATAAAGTATATTCTCTGACTGTAGTAAAATTAAACTAAACATCAATTACATAAAACTAGAAATCTCTACATATATTTAGGAGTTAAGTAATAAACTGCTACATTTTGAGTCAAAGAAGAAATCTTAATAGAAATTAGAAAGTATTTTGGTGCTCGCTTCGGCAGCACATATACTAAAATTGGAACGATACAGAGAAGATTAACATGGCCCCTGCACAAGGATGACACGCAAATTCGTGAAGCATTCCATATTTTTGAATTTGGGGGAAAAAAAAGAAATTAGAAAGTATTTTGAAATTACGATGAATATACTGTATGGAAAGCTGCTAAAGTTATGTTTAAAAAAAAAGTATAGCCTTAAAAGTATTTATTAGGAAAGAAAAAAAGACTGAAAATCAGTGTTCTTAGAATTAATCTTAAGAAGTTAAAAGAAAAAGAGCAGGAAATTAAATCCAAAGAAAGCAAAAAGAAGAAATTAAAAACAGAAAAATAGGAGTTAAAAAAACCAGAAGTAAATATGTAGAAGAGAAACAATATGGCCAAAGTTGGTTATTTAAAGAGTAATAAAATAAATAAATTCATAATAAGACTAATCAAGGGGGAGAAAAGACAGAAGGCACAAATAAAAATATTAGGAATGAAAAAGAGGACATAATTATATATGCTCATATATTTAAAAGACAATAGAATAATATTAAGAGCAACTTTATGACAATAAACTAGAAAATTAGATTAAATGACAATTTAAAAATTATTTACTAAATGGACACAAAAATAGAGAAAATCTAGTCTTGTATCTACTAAACTGAATCCCAAATGTAAAACCTTCTCTCTTCTTCAAGGGTAAATTCTTCATAAAATTTAATGAAGAAATAGTTTTGATTGTTTACAACTCATTCAGGGAGTGGAAAAAAAAGAGAATACTTCCCAACTTTTTTAAACTGAGCAAGAAGATAATACAGGCCCAAGTTCTCTCATAAATACATGTGTTTTTTTTTAAGCTAATAAAATCCAATGACATACGTATAATGAGGACAAAATGTCATATTGTATTGGTTTATTCCAAGAATGAAAGGTTAGTTTAACATTCACACATAGGAATAGTCATGGATCAGTGCTTAGTTTCCTAACTTGATTAATGAACTTCAGTTATATAAGAGAATGTCTTTGTTCTTAACAAATATACACTTAAAGTATTTAGGGGTAAAGTTTCACAATATCTCTAATCTAGTCTAGAATGGTTCAGAAAAATAAGTAACATATATATGTATATACACATATGAATATATAAAATGATAAAACAAATGAGGCAAAATCCAAACAACTGGGTATGTGTGTGTGTACATATGGGTAGAGTTATGAGTAGTCGTTGTACAAATAAATTTTTTAGGTAAGTTTTAAATCTCACCAAAATTCAAAGTTACAAGTAAAAAAATCAATTTAATTCACCTGTAAACAGAATAAAGGAGGAAAAACATACAATTACTTCAATAAGTATAGAAAATAATTTTATAAAATTCAACATCCATTCCTGATTAAAAAAACAAAACAACCCATGGTAACTTAGAGGGTCTAATACAAGGTATCTACCAAAAAACCTGTAGGAAACATCACAATGGGGAAAAAAAATATAGAAGCTTTTTCTCTGATGTCAGCAACAAGAGAAGGATGCTATTGTCACAACTTATATTCAACGGAACTTTCAGCAAAAAACAGCCTGCTTTGGAGGAACAAGAAAATTGCCTGCTCACTACAGGCTTCTTATTCCCTGAAAGTAAACAGAATAGAGCTGAACTGAGTTAGTCTTTGCAAATTTGACACCCGATGAGTCAATGCAACTCTCCCAGGTGAAGTGGGTGAAAGAAGAAAGTCTGCTTGGGGAAAATACTTCCTCACAGAAATCATGATCAAAGGGCACATTTCCCTGTAACAATGTTCAAGATCCTTTGAAGAAAGTTACAGAATGTTATCAAAAGGCATAAAAGGAAGCCTGAAGAGAGAATTAGATCACATTCATGGATGAGAAGACCACATACCATAAATATGTCAATTATGCACAGATTGTCTACATTTCTCTGAACCTTGTGGGTTTAGATAAAGCCCAACACACTGATCAAAAAGGGCATATGGAAGAACAAAGGCCTAGTACGGCCACAGTCAACTTTGAAGACAAAGAACAAGGACCAGCAACAAGCCTATCAGATATTTTAAATGCTTATTAACCTACTGTTCTGGACTTGGTATCAGCACAAGGAACAAAAAAACAAACAGAAAAGGAGCAGACAAAGGTTGGAAAACAGGTCCAGGCATATTTGTAAACTTGGTATATGATACAAATGGCACTTTGAATCTGGAAGGAAAAAATAAACTATTTAATAAATGATACTCAGTCAATAGGTTATCTCATTTGGAAAAACAAAATAAAAGCAGATCTTTAATATAAATTTTTAAAGAAATTACATATGGATTAAATACCTAAGTGAAAAATATATATCAAAACTTTTAGAAGAAAACAGAAGGGAATAGTTTTACACTTTCAGAGGAGGGAAGGATTTCCAAACTAAGTACAAAAAACAAGTCATAAAGAAAAAGATTGGTAAATTTGACTATATTGTTATTAATAACTTTTATCAAAAAAAAAAATCGCAAGCAAAGCCAGAAGGCAAATTGCAGACTATGAAGACAAGGGAAGATATTTGTGATCTGTACAAGTGGAAAGGGATGAAAATCTAGAATATTTGAAGAATGCTTACAAGTCAGCAAGAAAAACAATCTAGTTGAAAAAATGGACAAGAGATGAGGATGCATCTTTCACAAGAGGACACCCAGTGGCTAATGAGCATACAAAAAGATGCTTAACCAAGCCAGTAATCAGGAAAGTGCCAATTAAGTCACCACTGAAATACCATTTCCCACCAAGCAGATTGACATACAGAAGAAAGCTAACAATATTAAGTGCTGGTGAAGAGGTAGAGAAAAGAAATGGGGCCTTTCACAAGCTGCAGGGGGAGTGAACATTGGTATAAGCCCTTTGAAGAACAGGGCTAGAGTTAGAGACACACATCTGATACAGGAATTCCACTCCTAGAGATGCACAGAGATGTACTGCTTATAACAGGAGAAAAATGGAGACAACTTAAACCCACCGATGAGATGATGGATAAACAAACTGTGGTTCACAATGAGGTACCATTACACGCCAGTCAGGATAGCTGCTATCCAAAAGTCTACAAACAATAAATGCTGGAGAGGGTGTGGAGAAAAGGGAACCCTCTTACACTGTTGGTGGGAATGCAAATTAGTACAGCCACTATGGAAAACAGTGTGGAGCTAATTCATTTCAATGTATGACAAAAACCACTGCAATGTTGTAAAGTAATTAGCCTCCAACTAATAAAAATAAATGGAAAAAAAAAACAAAAAAACTGTGGTTCAACAGAACACTACACAGTAGTTAAAATGAATAGACTAGAGCCATATACATTAGCACAGAGTACCCTCAAAGATACCATGTCAAATTTTTAAAAAAAGAAAACCTTACTGCTTGATGATATGTACAGTATGATAACATGTAGATACAGCTTTAAACATGAAAACCAGTATTATATATTATTATGCATAGAAATAACATTAAAATATTTGTGGAAGTGATAAGCAAATTCAAAATAAGACATTATCTCTGAGCCAGTGGAAATGGAATGTGAAAGAACGCATAGAGGGCTTCCCCTGTTTTTACTTTTTCTTAAAAAAAAAAAAAAATCTCAAACAAATCAGAGTTGAAATCAAAGTGCTCGGATCACATCTGCTTATTCTCACAAAGAAACAGAAATTCCACATGTTATCTATTCATTGCTTTTCAAAACAAATTTTAGCAATAGCATTTTTTAAAGGAACAATCTAGAATGATCACCTGTGAGAACAGCGAAAACAAGATGCAGTGACAACTCCACATGCTGATGGAGCTGTGGGGAAACTGAGGCACGCACACACTGCGGGCAGCAGCTCTTACTGCTCTCCACCCTTCACATCCTCGCTGCATTATGAGATGTGCTTGGGTCTCATTGCGATTGGGACGGGTAAATTCCGGCATCAACTCATATGTAGTGGCCGTGTTCCTTTCCTCCTTTGCAAAATGTCTTTAGTCCATTTTCTTGTTAGGTGATCTTATCATCTGTCTCTTCTTGCTTGGTAGGACTTCGGTTTGCTGTTTCTAATAAACACTGGATGACTCCTTCTCATCTCTTACCCTGTGTGGCCTCTTCTTACTCTCATGCATGTATTTAAAAAGAAGGGCTGTTCCCACCAGCTTGTACAAGCACAGAATATCTCTGGAAGGATGCACAAGAATGTGGCACCTGGGACTACTTCTGAAGAGGACAAGTAAAGGACCGGGGGAAAGAATGTCTGGGAGGTGAGTTTATGTGCCCAGTCTCTCAGTGGTGTCCAACTCTTTGCAACCCTATGTACGGTAGCCCACCAGGCTCCTCAGTCCGTGGAATTTACCAGGCAAGAATACTGAAGTCGGTGGCCATTTCCTCCTCCAGAGGATCTTCCCAACCCAGGGATCGAACCTGTGTCTTCTGAGGTCCCTGCATTGGCAGGTGGATTATTTACCACTGAGCCACGTGGGAAGCCCCATGGGGGACATGTACCCTTCTCCATTATTCTCTTGCACTCTCTTCTTTTGGAAAACCACTATTAGGTCCATGTATTTCAGATTTTAACACAAAACCTATTATAACTAAGCTAATGAAAGCTTTTCCTCTATTCGTTTCCCAAAGGAGATGCCAGCCCAAGTCAGACTTTCCCCATGTGACCCACACCTGCTGGCCCTAAATACGGGAGCCCGTCCACTCTGCCTTCTAACCAGGAGGCAGGAGAGCAGAGCAAGGCTGAGAGCAACCTGGCAGCCAGACTACCAGGCTGTCCCCCAGCTCCCCCGCTGCCATTTGTACAACTGAGCAGAGCTCCTTAGCCTCTCTGGACCTCAGCTGAGGAGCAGCGATTCCTACAGTGACAGGCAGCCTTGAAGTCAGCAGGCCCCCTTGCTCCCACCTTGAGTGGCAGAGGTGATGGGATCTTACATCCCAAGTGAGGTGCAAAAGGCCTGTGGCTTCTGTTTGGACACACCTTCTCTTACTCGCTTGCTCTAAAGGAAGTCAGTCCTCATGTTATATCCCACATTGGGAGCAGCCCTGTGGGAAAGGCTCTCAGAGCAGGAATTTAAAGCTTCCAGCCACCAGCCAGTGAGAAGCAGAATCCTGCCAGCAAATCCTACTCACAGCTAGTGAGTGAGCTTGGAAACTGGTCCTCCCCCAGGGCAAGAGGATGCAGCCTGGGGAGACCGGAGCCAGAGAAACCCAGCGAAGTCATGCTCAGATTCCTGCCCCACAGAGACTGTGAAATAATAAACATTTGTTGTTTTAAAGAGAAGCAGAGAGACTAGGCAACATTTCTCCTGAAAAATGTATCAATCACCTGCAAGAGGCCAGACAGAACAAGAGATTGTGTAGAATCCCTTCCCATGCTGGGAGCCTAAGCAGATCTCCAAATAATACAGTAAATCCTTGATTTTAAACAAAACGTTTCAGGAAGTGGGTGATTTGCTGGATTTAATTTCCTGGTTAATTGGAAGAACCTTTTTTTTATAGAATCATGGTGCTTAAACGTATCTCATAGATCATGTATTCAGATGAAGCAGCTGAAACGGAGAATTAGCAGTTTCTGAAAGTTCTGAAGCTTTTCTATGGCAAACCCTAGCACAGTGCCTGTCACACCAAGGACACTCAATAAATAATTGTTGAAAGAAAGAAGGAAAAAGAGTAGGTGGCAGGGAGGAAGGAAGAAAGAGGTGCTCACCCTCTTAATGGCTTTGACGTGCTGAAACTCCTCCTGGTCCTGGCCTCAGTGGCTAGGAGAGTTCAGAGTTGGACATGAGCAAATCTGAACTCAAGCCCCAGACCACACTTAGTTGCATGACTCTAGGTGGCCCCTTGACCTCACCCATTATACCTTATATCTCACCTGTTCAGGTGTAAAATTTTAAAAATAGTAACTTCAGGTGCCATAGAGTCACTGTGAGATCAAATATGATCCATACAGGAATGCACTATCTAACCAGAGAGGGGCATGCACATTTTGTCATCCTTATCTTTAGAAAGTACTGTCCACTGTCCTGACTTAGAAAGCAGGCTATAAATTAAAACATCCCCTCTTCCCAACACATGGGAAAGGGTTGCTGTTGGGAAAATCAGGTCTTTGGGGGAGGGAAATCCATTTGGATCCTCATCTCACACCATTCATTGACACAAAAGATGAATTTAAAAGTCAATTGTAAATTACAGTACATGTGTGATACATAATACCATGCAATTAAAAAGAATAAGGTACAGTTCTGTGCACTGGCATGGAAAGATCTCCAAGAGCTAGGGTTGTGTGAAGAAAACCAAGCCATAGAATGCTAAGTATACGTGTGTGTGTGTTTTACTTATGTAAAAATAAATGCCACATACACATGCGCGTGCATATGCCACAACTTTAAAGAAAGCCGAAAGAATTCACACATCAATTGTTAATGGTAGTTGCCTCTGGGGAAGGTAATGGGACTGGATGTAAATGTGGCATTTTAATTTCTCATGAAAATTATATACATACACACACATACACTAGTTGAGTTTTTTAATGGGTATGTATTAATTTTAAATTTTAAAAACAAAGGTAATATTTTAAAACTTAAGTGTAAAGAATAAAACCATTAAAAATAATACATGAGTGCTTGGTCTCTGTATGAAAAGGAAAAATCTTTGAAAACAATATAAAAAAATCATGAAAAGTATTTCTAGAATTAACTACATTAATTGCTTCTTTTGTCAAAAAAAAAAAAAAAATTAAAAGGTAAACCGAAACCTGGGCTTCCCAGGTGGCGCTAGTGGTAAAGAACCTACCTGCCAATGCAGGAGAAATAAGAGATTCGAGTTCAATCCCTGGGTTGGGAAGATCCCCTGGAGGCAGGCGTGGCAACCCAGTCCAGTATCCTTGCCTGGAGAATTTCCTTGTCATGGACAGAGCCGCCTGACGGGCTACAGCCCATAGGGTCACAAAGAGTCAGACATGACTGAAGCTACTTCTTTCCAAGCCAAAACTGGATAATCACTTAGCACCCAATATGACAAAGAATTCATTCTTTCTATTATAAAATGGTCAGAACTGATTAACTTTTTAAAATAAGATCACTACCTCCCCACTCCCAAAAAAGCCCTGACTCTCCAAGCACTCAGCCCCAGACTCTTTTGAAACTATCATCCCACATCCTTGTTTTACAGACAGAAAACCTTAAAGGTGGTGAATCTGTTATGGGCTGGGGGGCTAGCGGCGGAGCAGGAATCTACAGCCCCTCTTAGCAGGGAGCCGGCCCTCCTGAAAGGAGAGGCTGGGATGGGCAGTTTCCTGCAGCTCAGAAATTTACCACTCACATCCTCCATCCCTGCCCCTAACAAAATCTGAAAACAGCAAATCTTCCCAATCTTGTCAGAACCCAGGTCCCCCTCTCTCCCTATGACTGTAGCCCACCAGGATTCTCTGTCCATGGAATTCTCCTGGCAAGAATACTAGAGTGGGTTGCCATGCCCTCCCTCCTCCAGGGTATCTTCCCAACCCAGGGATCGAACCCAAGTCTCAGCTCCTGCATTGACCGGCAGGTTCTTCACCACTGAGCCACTGGTGGGAACTTGGAGGGAACTAGAAGCCCTGCTCCCAGCCATCTCCTCCCACAGCCCAGCACCCCCAGCAGGGGCTACAGCCTGGGGAGGGTGCTGGGCTCTAGGGAGGCTCCTCCACCCCCACCGCCCATTCCTGACATTTCCTAGTAAAGGGGAAATTCTGCACCTTCAGAACTGGGGTCAAGCCAATGTGGGCCTGCTCCTGCAGATAATTATTCTTAAAAAGAACATTGCTGGGCTTCCCTGATGTTTCAGTGGTTAAGAATCTGCCTTGTAATGCAGGGCACACCGGTTCAATCCCTGGTCTGGGAAGATCCCACATGCTGTGCAGGGCAGCTAAGCCTATGAGCTGTAACTGCTGGGCCCACATACAGCACCTACTGAAGCCCGAGTGTTCTAGAGCCTGTGCTCCACAACAGAAGCTCCCACAACGGGAATAACCCATGCACCGCAGCTAGAGAGCAGCCCCTGCTCACTGCAACTCGAGAAATCCCCTGCACAGCAACGAAGACCCAGTGCAGCCAAAAATAAATAAATATTTTTTAGAAAAAGAACATTGCTGTTGTTGTTGCTTAGTCCCTCAGTCACATCCGACTCTTTTGTGACCGCATGGGCTGTAGCCTGCCAGGCTTCTCAGTTCATAGGATCTTCCAGGCAAGAATATTGGAATGGGTTGCATTTCCTCCTCCAGGGGATACTCCACCCCCTCCCCCAGGGATCGAACTGCGTTTCCTGCGTTGGCAGGCGGGTTCTTAACCACTGAACCATCGGGGAAGCCTAAAGAACATGAGATAAACATTTGCAAGGAAAAGATCTTGCCATCCCATCAGAAACTTACTTAACATTCAACAAACATTTACTGAGCACTAATGGAAGTGTAGGAAGTGCCGGAGTTAAGCGTGTACAGATTTTGAGTATGCCGTCCTTGCCCTGAACAGGTGATTATTCCTCATGAACATTCAGTGTGGTACAAAGGAAACTCTGCTGCTTACTAGAATAGACTGGAGCACTTCACTTAATCTTTCTGAGGATCTATGTATAAAATTGGCATAGTAGTAAAAATCCTCAGGATCTTGGGAGGATTAAATGAGATGCTGTAGGACAGTGCCCTGCATAACACAGCCCTAGGCACACTATAGACAAAGAAAAATTAGGCTCCAATTCCCAAGCCCCCCTCCCCTAAGTTTCCTCATCTCTAAAGTTTTGTCACCTTATTGACTTGACTGACCTATCTTATAGGCTCAAACTGCACGCTACATCAACACAAGAGCCCCACACAAATCAGTCGCCTTATTGGGATTATCGAGTCTCAGTTGGAAACATTAATTCTATTCATTAAGGTGGGTGGAGACAACTGAATGTCAATATACTCTCCAAGATGGATAAAACCCCTTTGCTTGGATCTGGAATGTGCTGCAGAAGGGTAAGCTGGAGACCAAGTTTTCTCTTGCAGTGTTGTGTTGTTTTAGTCCCTCAGGTGTGTCCATCTCTTTGGAACCCCATGAACTGTAGCCTGCCAGGCTCTTCTGTCCATGGAATTCTCCAGGCAAGAATATTAAAGTGGGTAGTCATTCCCTTCTCCAGGGGATCTTCCCAACCCAGGGATCAAGCCAGGGTCTCCTGCATTACAGGCGGATTCTTTACCGTCTGAGCCACCAGGGAAGGCTTCTCTTGCAGAAGGACAGTACATTTGGGCCCAAGAGCCAAATCTGTCTCACCTCACCCTTCCACCCCACCCCTGCCTGTTTTTGTAAGTGAAGTTATATTGCCTCACAGCCATGCTCATTCATCTACAAATCCTCTTTGGCTGTTTTCATGCCAGACCCACAAGCCTGAATCACTGTGACAGAAAATGTATGGCCCACGAAGCCTAAAATATTTACAATCTGGCCCTTCTCAGGAAAAAGAGAAGAGGTTGTCAACCTCTGCTCCATCGAACACCTTCTGTTCCTCTATCGCAAATATCCCTAAATCTGAAGCTGAATGGTGGAAATTAAACTTTTTAGCTCTTGAGTCAGTTGAGGTTCACAAGGCCCAGTGGTTGAAATTGAGACTCAAATGAATCTGAAGTTTGGAAATAAGAGGGACTCTCTCCAGGTTACGTCTGGCTTGTTACTGTGTAGTCCTGAAGCAAATTGTAGGTTAAAATAAGGCTTTAAAATTATTGTGGGGGTTTTCTTCTGTCTACCATCCCCCCCCCCACAAAATCCTACAGCCCAAAGCAGCTAGTAATTAAGTGAATATTTTCCAATTGTAAATACAGAAAAATTTTTCATGTTACCTATTGATTTTCTATCATGGATGCCATGAATGATTATTGAGCTCTTTCATCACCTCATCTCCCTTCTAAAAAGATACACATTTATCTCCCCCATCCACCCAATATAATTACATCAAAAATTGTACTTAAAACATTTTTATTTAGATCAATAGTTGATATTTCTTATATTACAACTACATAAACATTGTTTACAACAGAAAAAAAAATTATTGTGGGGGTTTGCAGATGGAGGAAGCAAGATGGAGTAGAAACAGCAGCAACCTGAATGTTGGCAGCTATGTTCCAGCCCCAATTAGGAGTCTGATTGGAGCTGTTACTTTATTTGTAAAATAAGGGGCTCGTCATCCACCATCTTTGAACTACTCCTGGGAGGGAACTTGCCCACACAGATATGGAAATTTTGGCCGTGTCATCTCTAAGATACTTTTCCAGCTTTAAAGCTTAACGTAAAGTGAGACTTGACATTGTGAGACCGTGGCCTTGGGGACGGTTATGTGAGAAGCAGTGAATTTACATGCATGGGATGCTTCCAGTTCTACCGTGTCTTAATGACATTCACCACGGTCATAATTCATCGAGCTTACCTCTTTCCAAATAGACACCATGCTAGTATAAGTCCAGTCCATCTGTAGAGAGAGACAGTAGCCCCTGGACAGCTTTGGACAGGCCCTCCACCTTGAATTATGTGGCAGCAGTCACATAATTGGCCCTCTGAATTATGCCTTCTAGACGGGCATCAACATGAGTTTACCTTCCCAAAACTAGCACCAGCAGACACAGTTAAGGATGGCTTTATCCCTAGAGCAATTAGTCCATGTAGTAAAAGGATCCTAAGGATGCTGCCAACTATCTTGGGATAATTGGGGCCTGACAGCAAATAAATCCTGCAGAATTAGGACTAGTTTTCTTATCCCAAAGCCCCAAAGTGAGGACCACCTTCCAAAAGCTCGGGATCCAAAATCTGCTCGTCCCCTTTGTGGATGGTGCCTGGTCCTGGACTGCATGCCCTGCACTCCTCCCCCGTAGGACCCATGCAGGCCAGTGACCCCAGTTTGGCAGCTCGGCGCCACATGGACAGCAGTCAGAGAACACCCAGATGAAAGCTGCAGCTGAGGGCCAGCCCTTTCGGGTCAGTGGCTGCTGTGCTCAGTTCTCTCCCTGCCTCCCCAAGTTCAAATGCCAGCCTGATTTCTATCTGGAAGCCTCCCAGCCCAAACATGGAACAAAAGTTCCCTCTGACAAGCCCATTCTGGGTTCCAAAGTATGTTTTTATGTTTGTTGGCAAATGGAAGTGTCACCAACAACAATAACAACAGTGTTTCCCCTCCACTGGAGCTACTTCATTTCTTCACATTTGTTCCAGGGCTGGAGCTGGACAGATGAATAACGTAGGCTAGGCAGCTGGCCCGCGCCCTGACCTCGTGCCTCCAAAAGCAAACATGGTGGTGAACGTGGAGACTTGTTTGTTTGAACTCTCACTGGCTAACTTAAAAAAGGAAAAGAAAAAAACACCTCCCACCATCCCATTTCATCAGTGCAGCCACTGAAGTTTTATTGTCTTGCTTTTTCTTTTTCTGTTTTCAGTTCTCACTTTTTGGAACAAGGAGCCCTCTACTGGTGCAAGAGATGGCGCCAATCCACCAATCATCGAGGCTACCCTGCCATCTTGTGGTCAACTTACCAATGTGCAAGTTTAGAGAAAATCAACTGCCAAACATCATACAACACAGGTTGTTTGAAGGAATCTTTCAAATATTTAGACAGGCTTTCATTGCAGACGTCTTGAGAAGATAGATCTGATTGTTTGGGGAGGATATAGATTGCGTTTGGAGTCATAACGTTGTTCTGTATCTCAGCGCCCGTCCACCTCTCAAGGCATCAAGCTTGAGCAAATCATTTCATTTTAATGAAGTTGTTTTTCCATCTGTAAAGTAGAGGTCATAATAAATGCTTGATTCTTAGAGTTTTGTGATGCTTAGATATGACTGTATATAAAAAGTGATTTGTAAACTTTATACACAAATACACATAAATATGAGGTGGCTCAGTGGGTAAAGAATCCACCAGCAATGCAGGAGACACAGAGAAAATCCACTAGAGGAGGGCATGGCAGCCCACTCCAGTATTCTTGCCTGGAGAATCCCATGGACAGAGGAGCCTAGTGGGCTACAGTCCATTGGGGTCACAAAGAGACAGACACAACTGAAGTGACTGAGTAGGCACACATAAATATATTTTAATATCTCTAAAGAAGTAGATTATCTCACTATACTTGGTAAGACTTTTTTCAGAGACTCAAAGCCTGTTTTGCTACCTAACCTCCTTTAGAATAAAGCCTGAGCCTGAGGCTTAAAGGGAGAAGGACTTCACACTGCTCCATGCTTTCCTAAATGCACACTGTCAAATTCCTTAGCTTTCACTTTCCTGATGCAAGTAAAACCAGTTTCTTCAGCCTTTCTTCATAGGGCCAGCAAATCAGTCATGGGGAGCAAGGAACATTAGTGAACTTTTGGAGGTTAAAATGCTTACCTGGAGTCACAGAGTGCCCATTAATGCTGGAGCTTGAGTACTTGGCTACCTTGTCTTCTGGAAAAAGCCTGAGCCAGATGCAGCTGCTGAGGAAGCACCCGTAGAGGCCTGAGCGGCACAGGGCTGACGCGGGATGACTCATCAAACACAGGATGGGTTTGGCCACTGCTTCTGTGCAGCTGTTTGGAGGAAGCCAGAAATTTCTGGTGCCTCGCTCTGGACTTGGTGAACAAGCCCAAATGTTGCAGTCCTCACTTAATGCTAAAATTTCTGCCCAGCCTGGGTTGGCAGACTAGCCGGTGCTGGGTCTACTGATAAGAATGTCCAAGGCCCTAGCCTGAGCTCAGAAGTTTCCCACCCATGGGCTGGCCCCTTCCGTCCTCCAGTTACAGTTTATCACATGTCTCATTGATGTAGGAGGCAGGCTTAGGGCACATCTGGCAGCAGGATCAATAGTTTTGCAGAGAGAAAACAGCATGCCAGCCAAAAGGACATCAAATCCTTGGGTGAGTGGTGAGGAGCTCTGACTCAGATTTCCAGGCCATCTGCCCCCCAGGCTGGGCTCCGCTTCCACCTGTTTCCAAGTTTTGTTCATCTAGGCCTGTCCTCAGGAAGCCACCTTCAGATTCTCGAACGTTAGTGGTGAGAAGGTGTATTAGCAGGTGAGGGGGCAGAGGAAGGGCCTGTGGCAGGTGAGGGGGACACAAGAGAAGGTCACGCTCCTGTCCCGCCCAGTGACGCTCTCCTTCCAAGGCCGACCAGACCTCCACAGTCATTCCCCCTTCTGGTCGTCTCTGGGCTGCCCCAGCATCTCTCATAGAGACCAGCCTGCGAAGAGCCTTCCTCCACAGTCGCCCCTACGGAGGCGGCTCTTCTCCCGCTCTCACTGCGAGGGGGCAGCAGTCACCGTCTTTCTGTCTGGAAGGTATAAGAGGGTAAGGTTTTCCTTCAGAGTTTTTCCTCACATTATAAACTACTTATATCAGCCAAATGAGAGTAGGAACCAAAGGTAAGGTGGCCAAACGTTCTGAGCTGAAGTTCATATGATCTGACAAAGCGAAGGTGACTGTCAGTGCACTGAGACGGCTGACAAAATGATTAGTCTTTGTTGTGGGTTGATAAAGATGGATTTTGGAAATTCAGGCATGTAGGTTTGAGTGCCCACAATGTGCAGGAGGCAGCCAGAGACCAGAGTGTGGGGGTGTCATAATGCACTCGGGACTGGGTGCTCACACTCACACGTTCAACTGTGATAGGTGACAGTGGATGCGGGGCCACTATCAGCTTTAATATGATATATTAAATATATCAGCTTTAAATAATGATATATATGGCTATTATATATATATAATATATGTAATATAATATGTATTACGTGTGTGCTCTGCTCAGTCACGTCTGACTCTTTGCAAGCCCATGGACTGTAGCCTACCAGACCCCTCTGTCCATGGGCTTTCCAGGCAAGAATACTGGAGTGGGTGGCCATTTCCTACTCCAGAGCATCTTCCCCACCCAGGAGTAGAACCCAAATCTCTTGTACTTCTTGCACTGGCAGGCAGATTCTTTACCAATAGTGCCACCAGGGAAGGCTCTATACAGATGATTGCTATAGTAAAGATTTTGACTGGCCTTTGTCCCTGGTCACCTCTAAACCCTTGGACTTCCTGGAGTCACAGGAGTCTTATTATTCATGGTGGCCCCTCAGGCCATCTCTGAGATTATGCTAATGAGGTTACCGGTGGTGGATTCCTAGGTCATTTCAGGATGAGGGCTGGCAGAGCTGGAAAGATCTACATGTGATTAGAGTTGGACTTTTGAGCCATTGGATGTCAGCCCAGCCTCTGGGGAGGGGAGTTGGGGTTCAGTCACTGGCCAACGATTCAGTGGATCATCCCAGAGTAACTAAAACTCAGTAAAAACTCTGGCCACCCGGGACATGCACAGGCCTCCCTGGCTGGTGGTCACACACTGACGTGCTGACACAGTAACAAATCCTGAGGACACGGGAAAAGCATATTCAGGCCCCTCCTGGCCTTGCCCTGGCTGGTCCCCATTTGCATTCTTTACGGTGAACTGTGCAATAAAGTACAGCACTTCCCTGGGTTCTGTGAGTCATCCCCACAAATTGTGGAACCTGAGGTGGTGCTGGGAATCCCCCCCAGATTTTAGCCAGTTGGTCAGAGGACAAGGCCTGGGAACCCCCAACCCAGAAGCTGGCTTCTAAAGTGAGGGAAGTTGTGTTGAGGGTGTGCCTTAATTCATGAATTACACTGCACTGTGGAAGAAATCACAGAGAACTCTGGGGAAATTCACAAGGGTGCACTGGTGTGGGTCCTAATGTTTGTTCACGTTTGCCTTCCTCCTTATGGAAGAAACATCCAATAATGTGTGTGCGTCGAATGAGTAAGTTAATTATGTAACAGAGTATTCACTGCCCATTGCCCAGCATGGGGTATGGATCATGCCTCATCTGACCCTTCCCAAATCAGTCCCATCCCCACGTGTACTCTTCTAAGTGTCATTTCTGTCCTGGAGCTTACAAGTGCCCTAGGAGGATCTCTCTGTCCATCTGTCTGTCTCTTCACCTTTATACTCAAATCCCCGTACATGAACTCTCATTAGCTTGTTTCCTCCCACAATCTGGGCCATAAGAACTTAGTGGCACTTTATACCAGAGTCCAAAACCAGTAACAACATGAAGCTAGAGAACTAGTTTCCTTCCCTGGAAAGGGAAAGGAACTGCTACAGAGGAATCTGATATGTTTGAAGAGACCCTTCCTTTGAAATGGAAGTTTTACTCTCTCTTCTTTTTTAATTGAGATTTAACTGACATATAACACTGGAATTAGTTTTAGGTATACGACATAATATTTTATACTTGTATAAGTTGCTAAATGATTATCAGAATAAGTTTCATTAACATCCTTCACCACACATTTACAGAGTTACAATTTTTTTTGTGTGTAGATTTTTAAAATTTTTGTATATGCAGATTTTTAAGATCTTAACAGCTTTCAAGTATATGATGCAGTATTATTAACTACAGTCAACATGCCCTACACTACATCTCAGATCTTATTTGTAACTGGAAGTTTATACCTCTTGCCCACCTTCATCCATTTCCCCTACCACCTTGTCCCCACCTCTGGCAACCACCAATCTGTTCTGTATCTATGAGTTTGGCTTTTTGTATATTCCACTTACGAGTGATATCATACAGTATTTGTCTTTCTATGTCTGACTTATTTCACTTAGCATAATGCCCTCAAGGCCCATCCATGCTGTTACAAATGGTAGGAGTTCCTTCTTTTATTGCTGGATGATATTCCACTGAATATATATACCACATCTTCTTTATCCATTCATCCATCAGTGGACACTTAGGCTGTTTCCATGTCTTGGTTATTATAAATAATGCAGTAGTGATCATGGGGGTGCAGATATCACACCCAGAAGTTTAACTGCTGGATCATATGATAGTTTTATTTTCAATATTTTGAGGACACTCCATACTGTTTTCCATAGCAGCTGCACCAATTTACATTCCCACCAACAGTGTACGCATGAGGTTTCCCTTTTCTCCACATCCTCACCAAAACTTGTCTTCTCCTATCTTTTTTATTTTTTATGATAGCCATTCTGACAGGTGTGAGGTGATATCTCCTGTGGTTTTGATTTGCATTTCCCTGATGATTAATGATGCTGAGCACCTTTCCTGTAAACTGGGAATTTAGACTGTTCTACTGGGAGGTTTGTTGATGATAATCATCAGAACAAATCCCTAAACAATATTTTTAGAAAGACATTTTTTTAAATCACAAGCACACAAGGAAACCAAGGGTATGCTCTTAATGACTTACAAATTATGCCAAATCCTCAAAACCCAGGTGGCAGGCAAGGATGGAATTAAAGGAGGAAGCTACAGTACGAGGCAGGAAGGTGAGAAGACAGGGCCCCCAGGTGGAGCCCCCTACTGGTGCTGCCCGCCAAGTGCACAGGGCGGGCCTGGGGAGCCATCGCTGTGCCCACTGTGGGGCAGCCTTGGGGGGCTCATGAGCTGGGACATTTAGGTTTGAAAGGTGTGCCCCTGAAAAGGAGGGAGCCCTTTTGACACATCACCTCACAGCCCGCCTTGCCCTCTCCAGTCCACAGGCCCAGGCGGCACAGGCAACATGAGGCAATCCTGAGTGCAGTTTTGACCCCCACCAGGAGACACCAACTACCCAAGAAAAAACCAACCCCATGAGCAAGAGACATCAAGCTCAACCAACAGAACTGACACTGGTGGACCGCAGGGAGGCAGCCTTCGGAGGAGACAAAGGGCTGGGCAACTGACATTCAAAAAAAGACCCAGGTAGGGCCAGGGAGGCCTGCTCCCTCCTCTTTGCATCAGTAATTGCTGATGTGTCCACAGAACATTTCCTGCCCTACACAGTTGGGTTCCTTTTCTGTGTCCCAGAGCTGGCCTCAGAATGCTTGAATCCTCAGGACCTACAGGCTCCACAATTTCTTCATGAATGAGGTCCCCATCATGTGTCTTTTCCCCTGGAATTTGGTCTGGGTTCCAGTCTTTCAATGTTTTTGTCCTTAAAAACTTTTACTGGTCTCACAGGGTCTCTGATGTCTGGAAACACATCTGAACCTTAATAAACACCTTCTGAATGAAGTGCACCACTTAGGTACTTAAGGGCACCCATGTGCCTCTTGAGTTCCATCCTTGCCTCCAGAAGGTTCATTCTGCCAGCCTTCACCATTTTGTGACTGCACTCATAACTTTCTAGAGATTCATTTTTAATTATTAAGATTGTTGTTTCGTCTCTAGGTCACGTCCAACTCTTCTTACAACCCCATGGACTGTAACCTGCCAGGCTCCTCTGTCCATGGAATTTTCCAGGCAAGAATACTAGAGTAGGTAGCCATTTCCTTTTCCAGGGGACCATCCCAACCCAGGGATCGAACCCACATCTCCTGCACTGTCACACAGATTCTTTACCACTGAGCCATCAGGAAAGCCCAATAAATAAGTAAATAAAAATAAATATTTAAAAAAGCAAAACTTAGTATGAGGAACTATCCAGTCATTCCGTAGTTCATATCCATTTTAATACATATATCATTCATAGAAGTAACAGATTTCTAGAAGCATCTATAGTTGGTCCTACAGCTACACTAATAGGTGGTTCTTCTGGAGAGAAGAGTTGAGACACACCAGTAATGTGATGTGTCTGCTGCGTGACCTGGGCAAGGTTGGGGACAGGGAACAGGGGAGGGGGGCTGAAGGTTAAGGGCGTGGTTTAGGAGGAGAAGAGAATCTCTACTGATTTTGCATTTTCTAATCATTTCTAATGAATCATTCTCAAGTTATTTATAGGCAAATGGATAGCCCAGGCCTAGGCCCTTGGACTAAGTCAGCTGTTCACATTAAAATGGTGACTTTCAAGTCTGGCACTGTAAACAAATACTTGTGCTGTTATTTATATTCTTTTTGTTGTTGTTGAAACTAATAGCTGGATTTGTTTTTTTTTTACAATTTCTTATAAAGTACTGTGGATGTACATTATGTAAGTTTCAGGTGTACAACATAGTGATTCATAATTTTTAAAGGTTATATTCCATTTATAGTTATTATAAAATATTGGCTATAGTCCCTGTGTTGTACAATATGTCCTTGTAGTTTATTTACTTCATAGAGTAGTTTGTACCTCTTAATCCCCTCCCATCTCCTTACTGGTAACCACTAGTTTGTTCTCTGTATTTGTGAGTCTGTTCCTTTGTTTTATACTCACTCAATTCACTTCAGTCACTCAGTCACGTCCAACTCTCTGCAACCCCATGGACTGTAGCCCTCTAGGCCTCCCTGTCCAGCACCAACTCACAGAATTTACTCAAACTCATGTCTATTGTGTTGGTGATGCAAC